CCCCAAGGAATATAAATAAATGTAGTAAGAAAGTATATAATTTTTTATTTTTGGGGGACTCCAGAATGGATTAATCAAATTCCCATAAAAATCTATGGTCAACTGATAATCGGTTAACAAACAATTCAGATAGTGAACAGTCTTGGAATGGATTATGTTCTTTAACCAATCACCCACTGTATATGAACTTCTGGTGCAAACTGGAAGTTATGTTATTTAAATTCAAAATTTTGAATTATCTAAATTTAACTTAAAAATTTTGAATTAACTTTTGTTAACACTAATTTAAATGCAAATTTCAGGAGGAATAATAGTTTGATTTATCCACAATTTGAATAAATAAAATTTGACTGTGTATTATTTTAAGAAATTAATATACAGATATTACAAAAAAAACCAATAAAATGAAATGGGTGGTAGAGAGATCATGCAATTTTGGTCATATAGATGGGTCACTGCAGCCTCATTACGAGACAGTTTAAAGTTACTTTGCTGCCTTGCATAGCATGCAAGTAATGTAAAAATGTCCACTGTTACACACCTTGTTTCATCGTGTTTCAGTTTTAAAAATATAGATATGTTCAGAAAAGGGAAAACTGGAATCATAGCAGAGAGTATTTGTTACTTGTTATTTCTTTATTGATAATCCACATTTAATTGCATGTCAAATTTTAAGTGCAATTAACAATTAAAAGGAGGATTTACCAAAAATTTAGGAGCTTTTATCTTGTAAGAGGTCTGTGGCAACCCCAGTTCATGTGATCAAAATAGTTTTTATTCACTTCTGTACAATATTCACTATGTATTTACATTCTTAATTAATAAAGATAAAAATAAATTTTATAAATTATAAATTCAGAAAGTTATTACTACAAATTAATGGTGAATTTTTAATTTTTCCAGGAATTATTGATTCGTCTAAGACATCACAATTCTTCTGTTCGAATTGAAGCTTTTACAGGATTAAAAGAATTGCTTTCTGATTACCCTGAAATTATAATTGCTTCACTTTCTGTCCTAGTTGAAAAAATAACTGAAACAATTGTTGATAAAGATGATGTTATGAGAAAATTGACATTAAAAACATTAGAAGTAATATTTAAACATTGTACTCCTGATCGTATTGCTCCTTTTTTTAGCACTTTAAAATCATATTTAAATTGTACGGCTACACACATTATTAGTAGTATTCAAGATGATTCTCTAAATTTTCTTGATTTACTACTGAAATATTTTCCATCTTTAACAACACGAACTTGTAGTAAAGTATTAGAAAATATTATTGAAATTTCAATGAAAAATATATCTAAAGCAATGACAAAAAGAAAGATTGCAATATTGTTGAAGTTAGAAGCCTTTTTAGAAGCTACTCTGACAGGTGAAAATGATTCAATCAGTGAAAGAAACTTTTTACACTCCAATAAATCAATAGAAAGTAATTGTAATCCATTTTATAGGAATGGTGGTTTGAATTCACCTATCAAAGATCAATTTAATATTCATCCAAATTTAACAGTTTTTCCTGAGACTGAGAGTATTATTGGAAATCAAGTGTATGGCATTAATTTTTTGACTATAGTTAAAAATTTTTTATTAGAATTTTTGAATGATTGCAAGTCATCATCACTACTACTTTCACCAGGTAAATTAAGTTATAATTTACATTAAATATATTATAATTTTTAATAATATATATACAGGGTATGGCATAAAGAGTGGATAATCTGTTACCTGTGGATACGGGACATCATGTGACTGTTCAGAAAATTAAACATTGTGTTTAGTAAAAGCATCATAGGTTTTGAGTTATTGGACATTTTCTATTTTTTTGGAAAATGGACTCCTTCATTCACATTTTTCAATGTCATGATCACAAATCAAGGATTTTTCCCTGTCTGTTTTTGAATACTAGTTTTGGATACATGTTCTGTCAAATGTAAACTGCCATTTTTGTATTATAGACTTGGTTTTTTTAGAACAAAAAATAATTCAGAATTTTTGTTTTGTTTTTTTACATTTTTGTTTGTCACACAGTACAGTTAAATTTTTGTTTGTCACACAGGTTACAGTACTTTTTTTTACATAAAAAAATGAAACAAAAATTCTGAATTATTTTTTGTTCTAAAAATAACCAAGTCTATGACACTAAAATGACAGTTTATGTTTGATAGAACATGTATCCAACACTAGTATTCAAAAACAGATTGAGAAAAATCCTTGATTTGTGACCATGACATTGAAAAATGTGAACGAGGGAGTCCATTTTCCAAAAAAAATAGGAAATGTCCAATAACTCAAACTATGACACTTTTACTAAACACAATGTTTAATTTTCTGAACAGTCATGATGTCTCCTATCTGCAAATAACGGATTATCCACTCTTTATGCCACATCCAGTGTGTATATACTGTATATATATAAGGAGTTTATTTTTCATAAAGATTGTTTCATCACCTTATAATTTGCTCAGTTGTCCTGAATCTGAAATACAGTAAAACCTGTCTATGGCGACCACCCACGGTTCCTTCAAAAAATGGTCTTTTAGACAGGTGGTCGTCCAATACAGGTGGTGTTGTAATACCGTATTTCCATATGTATTTTGCGCACTTTTTAGCCATTTCTACTACGCAAAACTCGAGGTGAGCAAAAATAAGCAAATTTTTTCAACGATAGGGCTATATTGGTATTGTATTTTATTCTTATCGGATAACCCGATTTACAGGAGTCGTCATGATATTATAAGACAGATTTAACACCAATATTTTAAAGATTAATACAATACTCGCATTTTCTCGATTATAATGCACACTTTCTTTTTTCCGACTTAATTAATTCGACTCGGTTCTTTTCGTTCGCTCCTCAGTTACGTGTATTACGTCATCAATATACAAGCGCGTCCTATCTCTCCATCACTTTGCTTTTGGTTTTCGTTAGTTTAATCTTATTTTAACTTTAAAAATACTGTATTTTTTAATATTTAATATTTTCTTAATTAATTAAGTACAATAAGAAAAATTATTAATTAATAATAAAACGATTTTATTATTTTTTCTCATTATACGATTTCATTACAATCGCGGAATCGAAAAAGGAAGTAAAACTGATTTTTGCATTAATGCGTTTATTGTTTTTTGAATATTTTGCCTGCGAAAATTACTTGGATATTATTTTTCTAAAAATATCGTGGAAATAAGGTAGGTTGATACAGAAACTATTTATCGCACGTGTACTGTATATGAGCTTCAAAATAAATAAATAAAAATAGATTTTATCAAACGATGAGATCAGCCGATTAATTGTATCGTGTACAATATTTTACACCCCCAAGGAAAATACTGTAGGTCTAGGGTAAAATAAATTTTGTTTTCCCACAGTTAAACTTCGCCGCTAATTGCTGTTGTGATAACTTTAATACGATCTTCTAACGACAGCACTTTGCATTTCGGACATTTTCCAACAAACTGAAATGAATTTCCTTTGTTGCTAGACTAATTTATTAACACCTGCACCTAATTTCAAGGGTGGGAGAAGTGCCCGGGATGGGTTCGAACGAGAGTTTAGACTAATTCATTATATTAGGAGGTGGAAACGTTGTTGAGATGGGTTCTTACAATAGTTTAGACCAGATACATTCGCGAAAGTGGTCGCTTATTACAGGTGTTGTATGTTGTTTCGGACCAAAAATCGATGCCCGCGGTCGCGTTACACAGGTGGTCGTTTAATACAGGTAACTTATACGAAGACTCTATGGATAAACTATTCCGTGCCAGAAATTTTTGCCCGTTTTGACAGGTGCCCGTCGAATGCAGGTGGTCGCCTAAGCAGTTTTTACTGTATATATTTTTAAGTTCTCATTGTTGCATCAACATAATCTAGCCTGTCAATTTTGTCAATCTTTAAAATGGACTTATATCTTCTGACAAAATTAGTATATTTAACTTGTGATAGAAACCATTGTCTGTCACAGATAATGTTATTGAGTAAATTTTGTCAATGACATATTGTAAATATAATTTTATAATTTTTGAGTTTCAATTCACTTATATTTGAAAGAATCAATTACTTCTAATGCTATGGCCCAGCTTGAAATCAACTAAAGTACACTGCAAAATGCAAGAAATTGTGTTTAGATTTATCAAATGATAAGGAACCATTTTTGCTAATCATTAAGTTTTTTTGAAAGAATTGTCGGTTTTATCAAACAACAGTAACAAAAACTAAAATGACATGATTTTCATTATTAGAATGTGCATTTTTTAAAACAGTTTGGTATTTTTAATGACTGATGTAAAACTGCAGATGTACAGGCATACAATAATAATTTTAAAAGACACACCATATTTTATGGCATCTAACATGCACCCCCCATTTTAGCATAGAATATTTAGAAAAAATTATTTAGTAAATTTAAGCAATTCCATATAAGATAATTGTTGCAGAGTATGCCATAAATAGATATTAACATTTATAAGTGTTAAGAAAAGGTTACTGCTTAACTTTGAAGAGTTGGATATGTACTCGTATGATGAATTTAGCTTACTGAAGATCTTTTGGGAAATTCATTAGCCTACGAGAGATTGCAACTTGCATATAAGATGCTGTGTGATTTTTGAGCCTTGTTTTTTTGGATAGAATTTGTCTTATATGATGTAAAATATCGTAACTGAATTAATTTGAAAGCTCACTTCAACAAAGAAGTAACAAAATTTTTAAAATGAGTTTATACATTGAACAATGAGACAGAAAAATAAATAAAATTTATCAATTTTAAACTGGTCAGTTTTAAACTATCAATTTTAAACCTATCAGTTTGAACTGGTATTGGAAATAATTTTTTAAATGCATTTTTAAGTGAATTGAGATGATAATAGCGAGATTGTAGCTGAAGTTTTCAATGCAAAAACATGAACGTCAGACATTCATTCAGGTAAAGTGAAAGAAAGCACTGAAAACATACGAGCATAACATGAGAGCTAACTTGGAACTTGGATGCACAACAGATTGCATTTATGCTTAAAGCACATTTTTCACTGTGTGCAGAGTTCAAATTTTGAAGCATTGTTTGAACTCTGAAGCAAATTTTTATCAAATTTAGTGTTTGAAGTATGAGAGATCACTGTATATTAATATAATGAAAATGATTATATACTATACAGGGTGTATTTTTTAACTTGAGACATTTGAGGTGCTTACTTTCAGTGAATCTTCTTGCCTCTCACTGTCGTGGTGCTTGTTTTCGGTGAGTTACTGTAATTCTTATCATTGTTTGAGATGTTAGTTTTGGGGCAAAATTTTATAACAAATGTTCAAAATGATGCTCTTCAACTTTAATGCATTTATTGAGCTGCACTTACAATTATCACGCTTGAGATGATCTTCAGAGGTCAAATTTGGGGTACTCTAGGTCATGGCTGATTTGTGAAATTTCCCATTGTTTCCATGTAAATGTAACTTTTACCTCCCTGCCTATTCCAGTAATAAAAAGTATGGTTTCCCATTAGAAAAAGCTTATAATTTTAATCTTAAAATAATCTTGACCTTTGACCTAGACAATAAGGTCAAAGGTACTGTACATCCGGTTGTGAAATTTCCTGCTCTTTCCATTTGCGGGGTCAAAAATATATGTTTCCATTGAAAAAAAAAACAGACTTGACCTCCAAATAATCTTGAAGGTCAAGGTCACATCTGAGGTCACCAATTGATTGGCCCCTCAACACCCTACAAGTTTTGTCTATACCTTTTTCCAAAATAATGAGATCCAATTAAGTTATTTCAATGTCTCAAGATAAAAAAATACACCATGCATAGCACAGCAAATATTCACTTTATGCCAAGCCATATTATTATGTTTTGATTATTATATATGTTATTTGTGTATGAAAGAATATAAAACTTAAATTTATTTAATTACTTTGGAAATTTCAGATAAACAAAATAAGGTCATCACTCTTCAAGTTATGCAAAGTGTCTTAAATGTACTAATTTTACTTCAGACTTGTGCAAATTGTAGTGATACAAAGAATGGAACTAAAAAAATGGTATTATTATTATACTTTAAATATTTAAAATTTATTACTATTAATATATAATACAGTGGTACAGTACCTCAGGATACGAACGCCCCAGCATACAAAATTTTCAGGATATGACATGAAATTTGAACATATTCTTTCTCCACAATAAGAACAAAAACTCATCATACAATGTTACATTAGTTCACAGTGCCTTTTTTTTATTCACTTCTGTTCATCAGTCTCAGTTCGTGTGTTTGCTTCATCGTGGAAGGATCTCGCTTGATAAAGGAAATCTTGAGGTATTATCAGAAAGTGACTGATTTTATTGAAAAGAAACATCCCGTAAAGGTTCACACTGGCCGTATTGCTGCTCAGTTTAATGACATTTGCCTAAGTCATTTTACCAAGCGACCTCTATCCAGTGAAAGTGCTGGTGGAAGTGAAGGAAAGAAAGCAAATAGCAGTGAATAAAAATTTAAAAAATAATATATATATATATAAAACAACAATATTTTTTAAAAATCTTTTCTGAGTTATTTTTAAGGTATTGTTACATTATGCTATGTAAGTTAAGTTTTAGTATCATTTCCCTTCTCCCTCTCTTCTGCCACCAGTTTACACCTCCACCATTGTCTATCCTCAAAGGTAAAGTGCAAATAAAATTACATTCTTTTTTATCAATTATTATTCTATTATGGTTATTTATACATTTACAACTACAAAACACATTTTTCAGTGTTTTCCTTACTATAGTTATTTTTTTAATGTACTACTTAACTTTAATTTGAGAGTGTTTTTCTTGTTGGAACGAATTATTTGGTTTTACATGTAATCGTATGGGGAAAAATGATTCACCTTACGACATTTTATGATACGATCTCAGTTTTGGAATGGATTAATTTCGTATCCTGAGGTACCACTGTATATACAAAATATATAATGTAACTTAGTTGATAAATAACATGAAACATATTGATTACATAACATTTTACTAAGTTTAATAATACAGATATAACTATTAATATTTTAAATACCTAGGCTGTAATAAGTTACAGTCTAGGTACAATATGACTAATGGTATGACTAATAGATAAGATCACCTAAAAGAAAGTGCACTATCATAATGAAATTTTGCAAGTATGTAAAAGAAGATGACAGAAAAAAACTGATTAAAATTTCAAAGTGAAATGACTAATTTATTTCATGACAGTAACATTGAAAATGGCACAGCTTGATTTTGTATAACCACCCCTAGCGGCAATGTATTTATATACATGGCAAGACACTAAATCTAAGGTTTATGCTGTTCTGTGACAGATTTTGCTATATATTTTTATCTCAACATATGGACCTGTTTTCATGATTACTGTTGTTCTGGGATGATTATAATTGATGTCCCAATATGTCCCAAACTTTTTCAATTGGAGAAAGATCTGATGATCTGGCTGGCCAAGGAAGGAATTCAACTTTGCAAATGCACTCAGGAAATATGAGCTTTATATGACTGGGTGTTATCCTGAGTGAAAATGGTTCTTGAAAAATTGGAGATGAGAGGTACCACAGTGTGTCAAAGGATTTTATCACTATATTATAGGCTTTAAGCATGTGTCATATCTCTACTAAGAGAATTCACACATACTGAAAGTCTATGACCATTACACCTCTAGCAAAAGTAGTATGTTGCTTAATAACTAAACTCATCTGTAACTGCTGTCTTGCCTCCATATCTGTACACAGTTATCAAGAAGCAGAATTTATCACTAGAATGCCATTTTATTACCACTGATGCTTTCCATCATGCTAAACAGGGCCTCTGATGTTCTATTATTAATTATATACATATAAAAGTAATTTGATACACTTGGTGGCTCAAAAAAGAACTTTACAAGTTTGAAAGCATATAGAGTTTTAATCAGAAAACTTACAGAATTGGTTGAGGAATTAACTTCTATCAAAACACATCAAGTTTGTCTCACACAGTGCAGAAATGCTGCATCACATTGAAGAAGATGAGACATTTCTGCTTTAATGATCAATTGAAATTTCTTTTCAGTAGTAAAATGAATACTTACAACTGAGGATTTGGGGCTTCAAAAAACCAAAAGTTAATATGGAATCTGTTCGTGGTAGTTCAAAAATGAATGAATGAATGAATTTTATCATGATGATATATTTTTAATGTTTGTTTTATAATTTATAATTTTTTGGAATTATAATTATTAGTATCTGTATGGTTTTACAGCCTTTTAAGCTTTTATTAATTAATTTATAATAATAATAATAAAACCCTTCCATGGAGTAAAGATGGTGGACATGGCCTGATTGACATAGTAAACCTTCACTTTAAACAAATACACACACTGCAAGAGTTTTTCAACAAAAAAGCAGAAACATTATCTATATATATAAAATTGCTTGTCCTGACTGAATGACTCACTCACTGATTCATCATTGCCCAGAGCAAACCGCTGAACCTAAAGAGGTGAAATTTGGTACACAGGTACGTCATGAAAACGCACACTAAGAAGGGATTTTTAGAAATTCCCCCGTGGGGAGAGAGGGAGAGCATTAAGGCTTAACTGGAAGAACAGCTTCTATCTACTGTACTATTTTAGATGCGATTTTTGTTTTGTTTTTATCTGCGTTGTAGTAGGGTATGCCATGGCAATGCACACTAAGAAGGGATATTTCGAAATTCCCCCTTGGGGGAGAGGGAAAGGATTTAGTCTTCATCGAGTACTTAGGTATATTAAATTTATAACATTTCAGACATTGTTATAAATATTTTTATCTATTTCGATTTTAAAAATGTTTGAATCGTTTTAAATTCGAATTTGTTATTGCATATTGGTTCAATTATAGAATAACTGTAAACATTCCAGAAAATTGATCAAATTGAAAATAGTTCATTTGATTCTCAGCAATTCTTATCATTCTCAACGGTAGGTGTTATATAACAATTACTATGGTTGTTGAAATACTGAATATAAATGGGGTTTGTTTGCAAAATCCTCGTGGGCGAAGTTGCGGGTAACAGCTAGTACTTACATAAAGCAGTAACTCTAGCAGACTTAAATAACACACCATTAAACTTACACTCACAACATATGGACATGACACAACATATAAAAAGCATAGACAACATTAAGTAATTGTGGGTTCAAAAGGCACTCCATGGCAGGCATCGCTATAACCTGGCTCAGGATTTTGTTGACAAAACTGCATGAAATAGTTGGTTAGTTTGGAGATGCCTCTTTGGGAGACAAGGGTTTGTGATTGCCATATAAGATCAGGTCATAAATACTAAAAACTATAGAAAACACATACTGAAAGATACAACACTCACAAATGACACATGCAGAAAATGTCACATCATGCCAGAAACTATACAACACATCACTTTTGGTTGGCACAGGTAGATTATTTATATATACATAATCAAGTAGCAAATATAATATACCAATAGCTTGCAAACAAATGCAAATTATTAGACATCCATGAACCATACTACAAATACATTCTACAGACAGTATTGGAAAACAACATGCACAAAATGTACAACAACAGCCATAATCACAGATAAAACAATTTACCACAACAGACCAGACATCACACTCATTGACAAACACAATAAAATCACATACATTATAGACATAGC